TGATGCTGCTTGGCCTGCTGTGTTCATCCAGCCCTGCACCTTGTTGTCTCCTTACATGCCTCTGTCCTCAAGAAAATGAAATGCCATTTCCAAAATGAGTTTCAATTTAAAACATGTGATACACAAACAACAATATGACTTTACACTGTCTCAGCATTCCTTAAACTTCTAACATACTCTGACATTTTACACTTTGGACAATGCAACTGTGATTGCATCATCTCCTCCAATCATTGAAATCTTGCATGAATTTTGCAGGAAGTAACTCACCTCCTGACTCCCCAAAGCCTGTCCACCATCTCCAAGGCACAAGTCAGGAGTGTGATGGAATACTCCCCACTTGCCTGGATGGGTGCAGCCCCAACAACACTCAAGAAGCTTGACACCATCCAGGACAAAGCAGTCTGCTTGATTGGCATCACATCCGTGAACATTCACTCCCATCAGCAATGTGTACTATCTTTCAGCATTGTGAACCATCTACAAGTTGAACCACAGAAATTCACCAAAGATCCTTTATTGTCATGTACATTCAAAATAAAATGCAGTGAAGTGTGCACTGTCGCTCATACATAAGCGCCATTGACAATAAAATAAAGAATGATAACTTAAAGAGAGTCCTGGTATTTTTTAAAAAGGAGAAGGAATGCGAAGACATTTTTAAAATTCTTGTGCTTTTTTACATTTGCAGGCTGAAATGAGAAGGGACTTTTTGGCAACCAGTGTTTTAAAACAACTGCTGCATGTTTTCAAAAGCCCAGTCACCTCTCCCTTACAGCAAGCATTGTGTAAACAGCTGTTTGAACATAGCATCCAGGGATGTGCAGGCTAGGTGGATTAGCCATGGGAAATGCCGGGTTACTGGGATAGGGTAGCTTGCAGTTCAGAGGATTGGTGTGGATTCGATGGGCCAAATGACCTGCTTCCGCACTGTAGGGGTTTGACGCCAGTTCTCTGCTTAGAGAGACAGACAGAGGCAGGGGGAAACGTTGACAAGGAGCAATGGTAACCTTAGCATTGTGAGAATTGAACCCATGCTGTTGGTATCACTCTGTATTGCAGACTAGTCATCCAGCCAACTGAGCTAAATGACCTCCTGGCTCTGATCTGAACTTACTGTTGGAGTATAGATGAGTCTTTAAACTGCAGCCCATTCTGCTCAGGCAGCCAAAGGTTCATCCACTGTGATTTAATCCAGGGAGCCAGCAGGTTCCCCTCTGTAGCCAGTTACATTGGCTATTCACTGATTTTATTAATGTTGTTGGATGGTTTACACCTGGGCAGGACCGGGACTGATGTCCTTGGGGAGTACTTGGTAGAGTGGTTGGGGCGTGTTTAACCTAATAGTACTCGGTGCAAGAACAGGCAGGGAAATGCTACTGAAGGGAGCAGGGGAGGTGGTCTGAAAGTCATGTGTTTCAATGTGAGAAGTATAAGGCAAGGTGGATGAACTTAGAGCTTTGGTTAGTACTTGGAACCATGACAGAGACTTGTCTGAAAGAGGGACAGGACTAGCAGCTGGATGTCCCAGGATTTAGATGTTTCCGGTGTGATAGAAAGGGAAGTAAAAGGGCTGGGAGAGTTGCATTACTGGTATAGAAGTATCTCACAGCTGTACTGAGAGAAGATCAGAGGACTCGTGCAACAAGGCAATATGGGTGGAACTCAGGAATAGGAAAGGTGAAATCACAATGCTAGGGGTGTGCGGTAGGCTTCCCAACAGCCAGCAGAAGGTAGAGGAGAGAATAAGTATACAGATTTAGGAAAGATGTAAAAACAGCAGAGTTGTTGTAGTGGATGATTTTAACTTCCCCTATATTGACTGGGACTCACTACGTGCTAGGAGCTTGGATGGGGCAGAATTTGTAAGGACCTTTCAGGAGGGATTCTTAACACAAACTGTAAACCGTTCAACCAGGGAAGGGGTTATACTGGAACTAGTTTTGGGACATGAGCCCCACCAGGTGAGTGAAGTTCCAGTGGGGGAGCATTTCGGGAGTAGTGACCATAACACCGTGAGTTTTAAGATACTCATGGATAGGGATAACAGCAGTCCTTGGGCAAAGGTGTTAAACTGGGGTAAGGCGAACTACAACAATATTAGGCAGGAACTGGAGAGTGTTGATTGGAGGCGGCTGTTTGAGGGTAAATCCACATCAGGACATGGGGAGTATTTCACACAGCAGTTGATAAGAGTTCGGGACAGGCACATTCCTGTGAGATTGAAGGATAGGTATGGCAAGTTATGTGAACCTTGGATGACCAGAGGTGTTATGACCTTGGTCAAAAAGAAAAAGGAAGCATACGTAAGGTTAAGCAGGATGGGAACTGACAAAGCCATTGAAGTATATAAGGAAAAGTAGGTTTCAGCTTAAACAAGGAATTAAAAATGTAAAAGGGGTCATAAAAAGTCATTAGCAAACAGGATTAAGGAGAATCCCAAGGCTTCTTTTTATAGAGAAAGGGTTGGCCCACTCAAGGACAGAGGAGGGAATCTATTTGTGGAGCCAGAAGAGGTAGGTGAGGTCCTAAATGAATACTTATGTTGGTATTTGCCAAAGAGAAGAAATTGGTGGAAGATGATCTCAGGGAAGGAAGTGTTGAGTTTCTAAGGCAGGTTGCTATTAAGAAGTAAGAGGTGTTGTCCATCTTAAAAAAACATTAAGGTAGATAAGTCCCCGGGTCCCCGGGTCCCTATGGGATCTATCCCAGAATATTGAGGGAGGCAAGAGAACATTTTGCTGGAGCATTGACAGACAGCTTTGTATTGTCCTTGGCCACAGGTGAGGTCCCAGGGGACTGGAGAATAGCCAAAGTTGTCCCATTATTTAAGAAGGGTAGCAGGGATAATCCTGGAAATTACAGGCTTGGGAGCCTCACGCTGGTGGTAGGGAAATTATTGGAAAAGATTCTCAGGGACAAGATATATATGCATTTAGAAGCAAATGGACTTATTAGTGATAGACAGCATGGTTTTGTGTGGGGGAGGTCATGCCTGACTAACTTGATCAATTTTTTTGAGGAGGTGACGAAGATGACTGATGAGGGAAAAGCAGTTGATGTTGTCTATGTAGACTTCAGTAAAGCCTTTGACAAGGTCCTTCATGGCAGACTGGTACAAAAGGTGAAGTCACATGGTATTGGGGTGAGCTGGCAGGATGGATACAGAACTGGCTTAGTCATAGGAGACAGGGGGTACCTATGGAAGGTTGCTTTTCAGAATGGAGAGTGTGAGTAGTGATGTTCCATGGGGATCAGTGCTGGGACCTGTGCTGTTCTTGGCCTACATAAATGATTTGGAGGAAAACATAGCTGGTCTAATTAGTAAGTTTGTGGGTGATACAAAGATTGATGGAGTTGTGGATAGTGAGGAGGATTGTCAGAGGAAGCAGTGAGATATACCTCAGCTGAAGGCATGGGCAGAAAAATGGCAGATAGAGTTTAATCCGGACAAATGTGAGGTGATGCATTTTGGAAGGTCAAGTACAGGTGGAAATTATACAATGAATGGCAGAACCCTAAGAAGTGTTGATATGCAGAGAGATCTGGGTGTACATGTCCACAGATCACTGAAGGTGGCAGCGCAGGAAGATAAGGTAGTAATAAAAGGCCTATGGCATCCTTGCCTTCTTTGGAAGGGGTATTGAGTATAAGGATAGACAAGTTATGCTGCAGCTTTATAGAACTTTAGTTAGGCCACACTTGGAATATTGCACACAGTCCTGGTTACCACACTAACAGAAGGACGTGGATGCTTTGGAGAGGGTACAGAAAAGGTTTACCAGGATGTCGCCTAGTATGGGGGATTTTAGCTAGGAAGGAAGGTTGGAGAGACCGGATTTGTTTTCACTGGAACACAGGAGGTTGCGGGGTGACCTAATAGAAGTTTATTAGATTGAGAAGATGAGGCATTTTCCTAGCCTGGCGGGATCAATTACTAGGGGACACAGGTTCAAGGTGCGAAGGGGGAAGTTTAAAAGACATGTGTGAGGCATGTTTTTCACACAAAGGGTGGAGTGCCTGGAACGCACAGCCAGAGGAGGTGGTGGAGGCAGACACAATAGCAGCATTCAAGATAAACCTGGACAAATACATGAACAGGAAGGGAAAAGAGGGATACAGATCCTGTAAGTGAAGACGGTTTTAGTATAGAAGGGCAAAATGTGTCAGCGCAGGCTTAGAGGGCCAAAGGGCCTGTTCCTGTGCTGTATTGTTTTTTGCTCTCTGTTGTTCTTTGTCCTTCCTGTGTACAAATAGTTTGTCATATTTTGTGAAACGTCAGCCTTAGTGATGTTGTTTTAAATGCATCAGCCCATTCTGTGGCTGTGAAGAGATTCAGGATGGTGAGGAGCTAATGCTGTATATGGTCTAAATTCACAGAAGTGGTGCCAGAAAAACCTGTCGACTCCGAAATGCTTCCTTCCACGGCTCAGACCGAATCAACCCCTTCCCCTGTGACTCAGGAGAATATTTCAAAGGAAGGGAAACCCATGAAGAGTGGTAAGTCACGGGGTAGGGTATGGAGCCTGTACCTTTCAATAAAGATACGTGCTGGGAGGTCGCTCATATTCTTCAAACTCAGCCTCTGACTATTCACATCACTCAAAATATTTCAGTTATCCTCCCACTTATATCAAAAACAGGAGCAGGAGTAGGCCATTCAGCCCTTTGAGCCTGGTGTCCCATTTAGTATGATCATGTCTGATCATCCAACTCAGTCTCCTGTTCCCACTCTCTCCCCACACCCTTTGACCCATTTAACCCTGAGAACTATATCTAACTCCTTCTTAAAAACATTCAATATTTTGGCTTCAACCAGTTTCTGTGGCAGATAATCCCACAGGTTCGCCACCCATTGAGGAAAGACATTTCTCCTCGTTTTAGTCCTTAATGGCATACACTGTATCCTTAGACTGTGAGCCTTGGCTTTGGATTAGACTGTCATCTGGAACATCCTTGGTTGACAAACAGGAGGCTGCAAGATCATAGTGGGCCAGGCAGCATCTTCAGGACATCCTGAAGAAGAGTAATACCTGAAATGTTGACTGCTCCTTTCCTCCAGATACTGCCCGGCTTGCTGTGTTTTTCCAGCCTCCTGTTTGCCTACCTTGGATTCCAGCATCTGTAGGTTTTTTTGTCTCTATCTGGAACTCTTTCCTGTATTTAGTCTGTCTTACCCTGTTAGAATTTTATAGGTTTCTATGAGATCCCCTCATTCTTCTAAACTCCTGTGAATATAGTCCTAACCAATCCAGTTTCTCTTCATATGTCAGTCCTGCCATCCCAGGAATCAGTCTGGGAAACCTTTGTTGCATTCCCGTCATCTCCAGAACATCCTTCCTCAGGTAAGCGCTGGTGTACAAGGACACCAGTGCCTCATTTCACCTCCCCCTTTCCCACTCTATCCACATTTAGATAATAATCTGCCTTCCTGTTTTTGCAGTCAAAGTGGACAACCTTCCATTTATCCACATTTTATTTCATCTGCCATGCATTTGCTCATTCACTCAACGTGTTCAGTTCACATTGAAGCATTTCTGCATTCTCCTTACAGTTCACCCTCCCATCCAGCTGTGTATTGTCTATAAATTACATTGAGCTCCCTCATGTAAATCATTAATATTTGTTGTGAATTTGTGAACAGTTCTAATGCAACTTTCTGAGGGCTACTTGGATGAGTTGACTGTTCCCCATATTGATCATCACCTGCCACAGTTCCTCCAAGTCACTAAATCTATTGACCTTGGAAATCATTCGACACTCTGTAAGATTACCCTGAACCCTGTACATTGAATGGGCGATAGTGCATGCTATTACTGAACTGACTCATTTAAAGATCGCTGGGTTAAAATCCTGGAACTCCCTCCCTAACGGCTTTGTGTGTCTATCTGCACCAAATGGATGTTCCAGTTCACTCCTCATTTTAACAATCTCCATTTATTACCGAGTCTGTAAATCTGAAACCCTCCTCCTCTCTGATTCGAGGCCAAAGCATCCCACTTGATTGGCACCACATCCACAAGTATCCACTCCCTCCCCCACCCCCTCCCCCACCGACACTCAGTAACAGCAGTGTGTACTATCTACAAGATGCACTGCAGAAATTCACCAAAGATCCTCAGACAGCACCTTCCAAACTCACGACCACTTCCATCTAGAAGGACAAGGGCAGCAGATACATGGGAACACCACCCCCTGCAAGTTCCCCTCCAAGCCACTCACTGTCCTGTCTTGGAAATATATTGCCTTTCCTTCACTGTCACTGGGTCAAAATCCTGGAATTCCCTCCCTAAGGGGCATTGTGCATGTGAAATTAGCACATGGACTGCAGCGGTTCAAAAAGGCAGCTCACCCCCACCTTCTCAAGGGGCAACTAGGGACGGGGCAATAAATGCTGGGCCCAGCCAGAGACACCCAGATCCCAAGAACGAAGTTTTAAAAATTCACTTTCAGAAGATAATGTTTTGGAGTTCATTCTGGGGCTAGTTTGAGAGATGGTGTAAGCTGAGTAGTCAATGCCTGGGAGATCTGGATTCCTATCGGGAATTTCCCATTTCTGCATTTGTTCTCAACTCATTAAATGGAGATTGATTGTTATGAGTAATCAGTAACTCACATTAGACAGTCCTACCTTCAATGTCAATTAGGCCTATTGAATTCTGGCTTACTGTACAAAGATTTACTCAGACAAATAAACAACCAAGCAGCGAGAGTAGGACATTTGGTCCTTCGAGTCTCATCTGCCATTCATTAAGATCATGACTGATTTGATTGTAACCTCCCTTCAGGAATCCCTAGTTGACTGTTGCTCATGCTGCACACCACACCTCACCCTTAAAAATGCTCCATCTCTTTCCTCTTAAAATCTCTCTGACCTACTCTCCCTTGCTCTGTACCCTGCACTCTCCTCCCCTACATCACTTTCAGAAATCTCTGTTCTACTTCTTCATCTCTCACCCTACCATGGAATCCATGGAAAGTCCATCATTCTGAACCAGTTCTCTTGCCTGTAGATTCTGTGAGCGGACTCAGCTCGATTAAGATAAAGAGCAAGACGAATGTGTCCGCTCGTGACAAGAAACAGGAGAAATCGGGTTCTGTTACTCAGTCAGGTAAAAATGGTGGCTCCTCGTGGCATGAATACTGAATGTTCAAGGGAATCTGAAATAAAAACAGAAATTGCGGTGGATACTCAGTGGGTCAGGTATCCAACAGAGAGAGAAACAGAGGTAATGTTTCAGTGCAATGACACATTGCACGGGTATCAGAGCATTTTTTACTGACTACCATCAAAACACAGGCTTGTTTGTTTGGCAGCAATAATTCTGTAAGTATCACAGAGAATTTGCTGCAGGGGGATCAGGCCTGGGAATTAAATAGCCAAAGATACACGTCAAATCGAAAGGACAGGCAGATGGGCAGAAAAGGGGCAGGGATGCCTTGTTAATGAGAAACCAAATTAAATTGATAACAAGAAGCAATGTAGGATCGGAAGGCTTGGAATCTGTATGGGTAAAGTTGAGGAACTTCAAAGGAAGAAAGACCCTGTTTGGAGTTGTGTATCGGCATCCTAGTAGTATCAGGATTTGGGGAAGAAATTAAATCAGGAGATAGAAGAGGCACATAAGAAAGGTACTATTACAATACTCATGGGGCATTTCAATATACAGGTCGACTGAGGATATCAGGTTGTTAGCGGGTCCCAAGAAAAGGAATTTGTGGAGTGTCTACGAGATGGTTTTTTGGAGCAGTTTGTGGTGGAGCCCATTACGGAACAGGTAATTCTGGATTTGGTGATGTGCAATGAGGCAGACTTGATAAGCGAGTTTAAGGTGAAGGAACCTTTAGCGGGCAGTGATCATAATATGAAAGCATTCACCCTGCAGTTTAAGAGGGAGAAGCTGGAATCAGATGTTTCAGAGATAGTAGGAACTGCAGATGCTGGAGAATCTGAGATAACAAAGTGTAGAGCTGGATGAACACAGCAGGCCAAGCAGCATCAGAGGAGCAGGAAAGCTGAAGTTTCGGGCCTAGACCCTTCTTCAGAAAATTTTCTACCCTGCCACACCATGGGAGGCTGCAAGGGCACTACACCTAGCCGGGAGGCTGCTACTGGAGGCCTTTCATCATGGGGCAGCACGGTGGCTGAGTGGTTAGCAGTGCTGCGTCACAGCACCAGGGACCCAGGTTCAATTCCACCCTCAGGCGACTGTCTGTGTGGAGTTTGCACATTCTCCTCAGGACTAAGGTAAAAGTTCGTGGGCCGAAGGGCCTGTACTGTTCTATGTTCTATGTTCTAAATCTTAAGGTGGCTCAGTGGTTAGCACTGCTGCCTGATAGAGCTGGGAACCCAGGTTCGATTCTAACCTCGAGTGACTATCTGCATGGAGTTTGTACATTCTCCCCGTGTCTGTGTGTGTTTCCTCCAGGTGCTCCGCTTTCCTCCTACAGTCCAAAGATGTGCAGGTTAGGGTGGATTGGCCATGCTAAATTGCTCGTAGTGTTAAGGGATGTGTAGGAAAGGTGGATTAGCCATGGGAAATGCAAGGTTATGGAGATAGGATGGGGGGGTGGTGGTGAGTCTGGGTGGGCTGCTCTTCAGAGAGTCAGCATGGCCTTATAGGTGGATTAGCCATGAGAAATGGTCTTCAGAGGGGGCAATATGGTCACAATGGGCCAAATGGCCTGCTTCCACACAGTAGGGATTCTATGATTCGTGGGCTGAATGGCCTAATTCTGCTCTGATATCTTATGGTTCACACAATTGGTGCACAACTTAAGGAGCTCATGATGGTATTGATTTGTCATTGTGTTTTCTGTTAAATGTCAGCACAAAGAATTGATTTTAGAAATTCATTTCAGAAAGTTATTAAATAAATTGAGATTACTTTTGTCGGGAGATGTAGAGTATTGAGATTGTGATGTACCTGTTGATGTAACTGAGCTATGAGCAGTAGTGTGCTCAAGGAACAGCAGAGAGACGGCCCAGTCACTACCAGTGAGGGGTCGAGCTGCTCACTCACAACGAGAGGGACAACTTCCCAATCCAAACGAAGAGAGTGTAAATCGCACTTCAAAAGTCAAACCAAACCACAAAACAGTCCAGATGGCCTAAATGTGGAATTCACCAGATTTAAAATCTCCCCACCCTGGCCTCATCCCATGTCCAACCCTTGCTCTCATCCCTGCCTCCTTGACCTGACCCAACCTGTCCATCTTCTCTCCCACCTATCCGCCCCCTCTCACCTCACTGACCAATCCCCACCACTGCCTACCTGCACTCACCTATCACCATCCCACCCACCTTCCCCAGCCCCACCCCTCCTCTCTATTTATTTCGGAGCTCCCTTCCCCCTCCCCTATTTCTGAAGAAGGGTCTGGACCTGAAATGGCAGTTTTCCTGCTCCTCTGATGCTGCCTGGCCTGCTGTGTTCATCCAGCTCCATGCTGTGTTATCTCTGACTCCAGGATCGGCTGTACCTACTACCTCAAAGTTAACAGTCTCTCCTCTTTATTGCAGCTGTTGCTAAAGGCAAAAAGGGGAAAGGTAAGGTGGAGCCAAGCACACCAGAGCCAATCATTGCACCTGAACCACAGAGACCTCCACCTCCGAAACCAGGCTCAGACCAATGGGTTTACGTGGATGAACCTATTCCTCAGGTAAAAGAATACATGTACCGTCCCCATCAAATACTCGTGAAGCAGGGACTGCACGGGCTTAGATAGGGCGTAAAGCTCCCAGGACAGGGACAGCACAGGGTTAGATACAGAGTAAAACTCTCTCTATACTGTCCCCCCATCAAACACTCCCAGGACAGGGACAGCGCCGTCAGATACAGAGTAAAGCTCTCTCTACACTGTCATCATCAAATACTCCTGAGACAGGGGCTGTTCAGGGTTAGATACGGAGTAAATCTCTTTCTACATTGTCCCCCCCATCAAACACACCCAGGACAGGGACAGCACGGGGTTAAATACAGAGTAAAGGTTCCTCTATACTGTCCCCATCAAATACTCCTGAGACAGGGGCTGTTCAGGGTTAGATACAGAGTAAAGCCCCCTCTACACTGTTTCCCCCCCATCAAACGCTCTCAGGACAGGGACAGCACGGGGTTAGGTACAGAGTAAAGCTCCCTCTACACTGTCCCCCCCACTTTCCACACTCCTGACTGTGTTCTATTTCAGGAGGTTGCTGAATACCTGGCTGCCTATTGGACCAGTATTGAAAGCACATATGTCAACACCATCCAGAGTATGATGCAGGAGGAGCGACGTGAGCGGCACCGCATCATCCACTACCTGCACAAGATCAGGTGAGGGTCCGTATAGAGGCCATGCTGATCCTAACACTGACCAACAGAGACAGTAACCAACAGCCACACACATATGCACCAGCAACAGTGACAGCATTGTGGGCAACATTCAGGGTATTGGGACTGAGGAACAATCGCTCTGGAGAGATAGTACCAATATGATGGCCTGAATGGCTTTGTTGTGTGCTTGAAGCTTTTATTGATTGTGTTTACAGTACACTGCACCCCAACCAACCAAGAACATTCCACCATCAACATCCCAGGGGCCACTGTTGATCAGAAACAGAACTGAACTAATCTCCTGCCTTTTGAACAAGAATTAAAACACTCAGTATCCTCTGTGAGAAAAGATTCTCACATCACCTCTGTCTTATTGGGCAAATGCTTACATTGAAGTAATGATCCATCGTTGAAAAATGGGCAGGCATGTACTCATATGTGCAGGAGTTTGTGCCCTGAATATAAATAAGACCATAAGACATAGGAACAAAGTAGGCCATTCAGCCCATTGAGTTCACTGACCATTCAGTGAGATCATGACTGACCTGATCATCCTCACGGCCACTTCCCTGCCTTTTCCCCATCACCCTGATCCCCTTCATGATTAAAGATCTATCTCAGCTTTGAATATACTTAACGATCCATCCTTGACAGCCCCCTGGGGTAAACAATTCCACAGATTCACATCCCTCTGGGAGAAGGAGTTCCTCCTCATCCTCTGCCTTATATGTGCCATCCTAGCCTGAGACGATTCTACCTGAACCTAAACTCTCCCAAAAGGGGAATGAACCTCTCAGCGTTTTGGTCAGAACAACAGAAAGGTAATTTATTCTCTAAATGAAGAGGAACTTTACAATACTTCAGTGCAGAGGGATCTGGGTGTCCTTGTGCATGAATTGCAGAAAATTAGTGTGCAGGTCCAGCAGGTAATAAAGCAGACAAAGGGAATTTTGGCATTTGTTGCTAAAGGAATAGAATATAAAAAGTAGGGAAGTGTTGCTGCAATGGTACAAGTCTTTAGTGAGATCACACCTGGAGTACTGTGTACAGTTTTGGTCCCCTTTCTTGAGGAGGGATGTATTTGCACTGGAGGCAGTTCTGAGGTGGTTTATTAGGCTGATACTGGTTACTGTGCAGGGACTGTCTGATGAGGAGAGGTTGAGTAGGTTGGGCCTGTATTCATTGGATTTTGGATAAGTGGAGACCTTATTGAACATAAGAGCTAGAAACAGGAGTAGGCCATTCATCCCCTCGAACCTGCTTCACCATTCAATACGATCCTGCCTGCTCTCCATAACCTTTCAATCCAGGACTAATTAAAAATCTGTCTTCCTCCTCCTTAAATTTATTCAGTACCCCAGTAACTTTACTCTTGGCTAGTGAATTCCGCAAATTCACGACCCTTTGAGTGATATAATTTCTTCTTATTTCTGATTTAAATCTGCTACATCTTATCATAAAACTATGATCTGTCATTCTAGATTGCTCCACATGAAGAAAAATCCTTTTTACTTTGTCAATCATCTTATGTACTTCAATTCGATCCCCTCTCATTCTTCTAAACTTCAGAGAGTATTGCCCTAAATTGCTCAATCTCTCTTTATAAGACAGATCCCTCATCTCCAACAAAAGTGCCTCTTTCATTAGATAAAGGGCCCACAACTTTTCACAATATTCCAGCTGTAATCGACTACTGACTGAGATAGTTTCAGTGAGATCCTCTATTCCCTTTGAAATAAAGGCCAACATTCCATCTGCCTGCTGTATTATCTACTGAAGTTGGATTCTAGTATTTATCTGATTCATTGAAGAACACTTCCAACTGTTTCTGCACAACAGATTTCTACAGTATTTTCCCAGTTGAATAATATTTAGCCTTTTAATTCTTTGTGCCAAAGTGTATAATCTCTCATTTCCCTGCATTATATTCCATCTCCCCACTCTCAGAACCTGTTCATATCCCTCTGCAGACTCTGTGTCTCATCCTCACAACTTGCCTTTCCACCTATTTTTGTGTCATCTGCAAACTTGGTCATAGTACTTTCACTTTCCTCACCCAAGGCATTAGTATATTAATCATGGTCCCAGCACTGATCCCTGTGGCACTCTGAGTTACAAGTTATCATTCTGAAAATGTGCTTTTTATCCAAACTCTCAGCTTTCTGTTAGTTAGCGAATCCTCTATCCGTGTCAGTACACAACCCCAACAATATGGGTACTCGTTTTATTAAGTCACTTGACATGTGATACCTTATCAAAAACCTCTTGGAAACCCAAATTTATTAAATCTATTGGTTACCCTTTGTTTACTTGCATGATACCTCTTCAAAGAACTGTCTATATGGCGCTAATCAAGCGGCTGCTTTGTCCTGGATGGTGTCGAGCTTGTGTTGTTGGGGCTGACCCCATCCAGGCAAGTGGGGAGTATTCCATCACACTCCTGACTTGTGCCTTGTCGATGGTGGACAGGCTTTGGGGAGTCAGGAGGTGAGTTACACTCTGCAGTATTACTAGCCTCTGTAACCACTGTACTGGTCAGTGATGTCCTCATCCCTTTAGTGAATAAAAAAAACATTCAGTTAATGAATATAGCGGAACAGGAGGTCTGAAGTGTATTTATTTTAATGCAGCAATGTATAACAGGTACGACCGATGTGTTTTGAGCCTGGATTAGTACACGGAACTATGATGTTGTAGCCATTTCAGAAATGTGGCTGAGAGAAAGGCAGTACTGACAGCTCAATGTTCCCGGGTTTAGATGTTTCAGACGAGATAGAGATGGACTTGAAAGGGGTGGGGGATTTGTATTCCTGATTAAGGAGAATGTCAGCTGCACTAAGAGGAAATCTGAGGCCTCTGCAATAAGAAAGACATAATCACTATGATAGGGTTATACTATAGGCCTCCCAACAGCCAGTGGGAGATAAAAGAACAGATATATAGAACATAGAACATAGAACATTACAGCGCAGTACAGGCCCTTCGGCCCTCGATGTTGCGCCGACCTGTGAAACCTATCTGAAGCCCATCTAACCTAAACTATTCCATTATCATCCATATGTTTATCCAATGACCATTTAAATGCCCTTAAAGTGGGCGAGTCTACTATTTTTGCAGGCAGGGCATTCCACGCCCTTACTACTCTCTGAGTAAAGAACCTACCTCTGACATCTGTCCTATATCTATCACCCCTCAATTTAAAGCTATGTCCCCTCGTGCTAGCCATCACCATCCGAGGAAAAAGGCTCCCACTGTCCACCCTATCCAATCCTCTGATCATCTTGTATGTCTCTATTAAGTCATCTCTTAACCTTCTTCTCTCTAACAAAAACAGCCTCAAGTCCCTCAGCCTTTCCTCATAAGACCTTCCCTCCATACCAGGCAACATCCTGGTAAATCTCCTCTGCACTATTTCCAGTGCTTCCACATCCTTCCTATAATGCGGTGACCAGAACTGTACGCAATACTCCAAGTGCGGCCGCACCAGAGTTTTGTACAGCTGCAACATGACCTCATGGCTCCAAAACTCAATCCCTCTACCAATAAAACCTAACATACTGTACGCCTTCTTAACAACGCTATCAACCTGGGTGGCAACTTTCAGTGATCTATGCACATGGACACCGAGATCTCTCTGCTCATCCACACTACCAAGAATCTTACCATTAGCCCAGTACTCTGTATTCCTGTTACTCCTTCCAAAGTGAATCACCTCACACTTTTCCGCATTAAACTCCATTTGCCACCTCTCAGCCCAGCTCTGCAGCTTATCTATGTCCCTCTGTAACCTGCAACATCCTTCTGCACTATCCACAACTCCACCGACTTTGGTGTCATCCGCAAATTTACTAACCCATCCTTCTACGCCCTCATCCAGGTCATTTATAAAAATGACAAACAGCAGTGGCCCCAAAACAGATCCTTGAGGTACACCACTAGTAACTGAACTCCAGGATGAACATTTCCCATCAACCACCACCCTCTGTCTTCTTACAGCTAGCCAATTTCTGATCCAAACTGCTAAATCACCCTCAATCCCATGCCTCCGTATTTTCTGCAATAGCCTACCATGGGGAACCTTATCAAACGCTTTACTGAAATCCAAATACACCACATCAACCGCTTTACCCTCATCCACCTGTTTGGTCACCTTCTCGAAGAACTCAATAAGGTTTGTGAGGCACGACCTACCCTTCACAAAACCGTGTTGACTATCCCTAATCAAATTATTCCTTTCTAGATGATTATAAATCCTATCTCTTATAATCCTTTCCAACACTTTACCCACAACCGAAGTAAGGCTCACTGGTCTATAATTACCAGGGTTGTCTCTACTCCCCTTCTTGAACAAGGGGACAACATTTGCTAGTCTCCAGTCTTCTGGCACTATTCCTGAAGACAATGACGACATAAAGATCAAAGCCAAAGGCTCTGCAATCTCCTCTCTAGCTTCCCAGAGAATCCTAGGATAAATCCCATCCGGCCCAGGGGACTTATCTATTTTCACACCTTCCAGAATTGCTAACACCTCCTCCTTATGAACCTCAATCCCGTCTAGTCTAATAGACTGTATCTCAGTATTCTCCTCGACTACATTGTCTTTTTCCTGCGTGAATACTGACGAAAAATATTCATTTAGCACCTCTCCTATCTCTTCGGACTCCACGCACAACTTCCCACTACTGTCCTTGACCGGCCCCAATCTTACTCTAGTCATTCTTTTATTCCTGACATACCTATAGAAAGCTTTAGGGTTTTCCTTGATCCTACCTGCTAAAGACTTCTCATGTCCCCTCCTGGCTCTTCTTAGCTCTCTCTTTAGGTCCTTCCTGGCTAACTTGTAACTCTCAAGCGCCCTCACTGAGCCTTCACGCCTCATCTCTACATAAGCCTCCTTCTTCCTCTTGACAAGAAATTCAATTTCTTTAGTAAACCACGGTTCCCTCGCTCGACCACTTCCTCCCTGCCTGACAGGTACATACTTCTCAAGGACATGCAGT